CCCCCCCCCCCCCCCCCCCCCGTTAAATACGTTAGTGTAAGCGTGTCAATGACAAGCCCTGAAAGTGGTCTTATAAAGTGGAATTTTCCCGTTTAATTAACGTTTTTCGTGATTGTTTTTTGGGGGGAGGAGGATGCGCCTCCCTCCCCCCTGTCACCCCCCACAAGAATCCTCATTGATGTTCTCTCAGAACAAACGCTACTTGTTTTCATTTTGCCGCCCATTTTTGCGCATAACGCTACTTCAAGGAAATGGCGAATTTTGACGGTTTTCATAGGGTGGGTACTGCTGGGGGGCCCCCCTCCCCCCCACGAGGGGTTAGGACGCTCCTCGAATGAAAAATTAATGCTCTATTATTTTAGGGGTAAACAATTTTACGATAATACGAACCTTCTTTGCGTTATTGGCGAGAAATCGCGGCGAAACGGTCATTTTCGCGGAAATTTGAGACATTTTGACATTTTGAGCCCCCCTCCCCCGGGGGTCCGCGGGGAACCGCGGGTCCTGGTCAAAGTCAAACAAAACTTTTCTAAACCAAAATTTCACGAGCTTTCAGAATGGTTATGTGGAGTTTTGCCCTAAAATCAAGCCTTTTTGGGTAAAAGTGGGAAAATTCGCGGAAAAGTCGGAATTCTGAGCAATTTTGGGGGGTTTAGGGGGGCCTACTCCCCCCCACCACGATAAAATTCGCGTAAACAAGAAAAATCTTATTCTAGTAGTTGAGAGCTTCAAGAAAATCACCATCTTCAAAATTCCCATGGGGGGGGGGGGGGAGGGTTGCCCCTTGTTGGCCCACGGTCTAACAGATCCGAGTGCCACTCTCAGCATGTAAGTCGGTTGGCCTAGCGGCAGCGCACTCGCTTTCGGGATCACAAGGCCAAGGTCTGATCCTCGTCCCGGAGACTATGTTTTTACGATTGATTATTTTGTTTTTTAACCGCTTTATCACAACAAAGTGTAAGTCATCTTGTAAACATTATGATGTTAATTATTTGCTTTTCTTTTCTTTTTAGTCAATCAATCGTTAAAAAAAAAAATAATAATAATCAGCATCATAATGTTTACAAGGTGACTTACACTTTGTTTGATGAGCGATTAAAAAAACAGCTTCGCACATCACATCATCACAACGAATTGTAGATGAGTCACCTTTTAAACATTATGCCCATTTTTTTTCTTTTAATGATTGATTGACAAATCGAGAGAACATCCATGGTTTGAACGTTGGACTGCCGGAGTGTTTTCTAAATTAATATGTAACTTTGTATACCGTTACAGCTTTTAACATGGTCCTAAAGGTACTAAGTAATTGATTTACAAACAAATCTTACCTTCAAATAGTGACAAAAAAGTAAAAACTCATGAAAATGTCTGTCGCAAATTAATCTTCAACCAATGTTATCTCTATGACAAATATAAACAATTGCCCATTGACTAAAGTTTTCCTTTAAAATAGGATTTATCCCGTCGGTTCCTTTTTATCTAATAAAGGTTTTAACCATTTGAACGTCCAAAGAATGCATTTCTGAATTCGATTTTGGTCAAAAAATCATCGATTGTCTCGATATTTGCATTTGAAGAGCGACTGCCAATTCTTTATGGGGAAATAAATTGTAAGTGAAGAAAAGACAATTTTTGTCATGAGATGTAACGTAACGAGTATACCGGATCCGTTCCCGCGTAAAAGTGACCAGTTTGAAAATCCGAATTTTTAGGCATTTCTACGTTTACTTTTTTGGGGTTTCCGGCGATCAAAAATCTCCGGGAAAATTCCTGTGACATCTTCTTCTTAGTTCTTTCGTTAAAATCAATAAAAAATGGCGCAACAGGCCCATTCTCGGGAAAAAATTAATAGGTAGGTATTAGTAGATAGCCTCACTTCTTCCTACCAATGATTCCAGCAAGGCATACAGTCAAAATGAATCTTGTTCTAGAAATTTAACTTTCCCCCCTCTCTTTTCTCCCTCTTTTTCTCCTTTAACTCGTATGGTACAGTGGTACCTATGACCCAGAATAGCTGGCAGACTGTCACTTCGACGGTGGAGGTCAATTTCATAAATGGTATTAATAGGCAAGAGGAAAAATAAGTTACCTTTGGATTCCTCTAAACGATTAAGTACTGAAGGGTTTGGAGGACAAAGCGCCTAAGTGCAGTTTTTTAAAAAATTGAAAAATTAATTATTTCCAGTAAAATTAATCTGAATGTATACCTACTATGTGAAAAATTCTCTCCCAAATCTCAATGCTTAAGCATAATTTGAACTTTCTACCCGCTATAAGGCTCCATAAAATTTCGAAATTTCAAATACGTATTTTTCGAACTAGCAAAAGCTGCACTTAAACGCCTTTATCTTCAAGCCTCTCAACTTATAAAATAGATTGTGTTAGATCACCTTCATCTCCAGGGTCACCCTGAGGTCCGCTGAAGTTAGCATCTCCTGGTAGACCTGACGGACCTTGGAAACCAACATCACCCGTTTCACCCTTTTGACGAAAGAAAAGAAAGGAATGATTTAATTTATAAATAAATACAATCATTTTTTACAACTTACATATTTAAAACCAGCGAGACTGTGTCTAGATTATACTTGATTATAAAGGGTGTCCCAAAAGTCCGTATACCA